AAGAAAAATAAGTCAACTGTTATCAGACTCGGCTGATCTATTTTCTTTTACGTTTCCTGGTTTAGGAGCAATTCTTTAACTAAGCCTTGCGGCCAAAAACGTTACTATTATGGTGGCAGTCACGAGATTTGCTCTTAATTCTCAGGTTCCTATAATCTGTTTGTCCTATGTTTTTCGACACTGCTTCTCAAATATTTGTATAGATTCAATTAATATGCCAATAGCAGAAATTCCAAGACAAAATAAACTTCTAGGTTATTTAAATAAAAATTCAGTTTTACGATTCAATCCAACTAAGAGGTGATGAAAATGTGCAATATTTTCCTCGCAATTAATTTATTATCTCTGCTATTCATTTCCTGAAAGTGGAAAGCGATTTGTTTTCGCTAGGTCCTAACAAACTCACTATGCCGCCGACACACTATTGCTGACCTCTAGACTAAAAAAAAATTCTAATAAAACCTTTCAACTAGTTTGTTTGTAATTAAGCACAAAGCTACACAATGGACTATCTGTGTTCTGCCCGCCGCGGGTATCGAAACCCGGTTTCTAGCGTTGTAATTCCGCAGACATCCCGCTGTGCCACTGGGGGGGGGGGCTTTCAACTAGATAATACAGGATTATGGCTACTTTGTTGAAAATGAAAATTGTCAGGGAAGGATTAGCAGCTCTGTCAAAAGATTTCGACTAATTATTTCCGACTGATGTACTGCTCTTACCATTTTAAAATTAATTTGTCAATTTTTGCAAATTTGTGTCATTTCAAGTGTAGTAAAAAAAACATTTACGATTATTTAAGTTTCAAATATAACTACAGAGAGTACTTTTCATTTTTAATCTGTTTTACTTCAGAAACTACTGGATAAAAATACACTTCGTGCGCCACGACAGTTTTGTATTTCCGTACTCCCTTACCCTTTGTTCTGACGATCACGACTTGCTGTTCGCCATTCTCATCCACTTTCACAAAATATTCAGTATTGGGCTTTAAATTACGAAGTTTAACTATTGAAGTTACAGCCTGAAAAATGAAATATTCATTATATTATAAACCAAATGATTTTTTGACTAAAACATTAAAAAAAATTAGTTGTATAACTAAATGTACAACACTAACTAATATTTACATATACTGTAAGTTTCAAATTAGGTTCACGATTTTATTTTTATTTTATTTTAACGTAGAGAAAAGTCCGTTTATAATTCTACGAGATACAATATTAGTTTCGACAGTTTATTAAGTTTTATCTGCTCAATAAAAGCTACTCTTTGAATAAGTTAATTATGATACTCTAAAGTTCATAAGTATTAACCAAGTAATATTTCTCACCGCTTTTCGTTTTATGACTTGAAAGATAAAACAGGCTGAAAATTTGTTTGTTGATCTTGATTACTAGAACTGTTCTTTATTCAAAAGTAAAATTTTAAATAACAAGAATTACCATAATAAATCATTACTTACTGTATTCGTATTTTAAGTCAATGATTTTTGTTTTCGTTTAAACACAAAGCTACATGGTTGGCTATCTGTGCTGTTACCACCTAGAGTATCGAAACCCAGTTTTAGCATTTTAAGCCTTTAGATTTACCGCCGAGTCACTCGGGGGCATACGTTTGTAACAATAAGATATGGTTGAATAGTTTGAGCTAGTGAAATAGAATATTTTCACTTTCTGAATGGTTCAGTAATGTATTCATGCGAGATTTGTTATTTTTCAGGGTGTAACCTACCGAAAGGTTATTTGTTATTTTTCAGGGTGTAACCTACCGAAAGGTTATTTGTTATTTTTCAGGGTGTAACCTACCGAAAGGTTACATTTCGAGCTTGCTAATTAAATCATAACGTTGCTTCATTATTCATGATTTTCTTTGTAAACATGCTCTATATTCTACATTTGTTTTTCGCGTTTTCCTTTAAGAAAAAAAAAAGGTTTAATCGTTCGAATATTACCTCCATATTGACCCACGACATCTCAGGGATACTGTTAACAGGCTTGTACAGGACAGAAGCTTGAGGTATTTCTTCGGTTTTCATTGGTTGCCACTGTATTGTGACGGAGTTATGCGTCACTTCCTTTTCTTTAATGAACAGCTTTCCTACGTGAATTAAAACATTGTTTACGTGTAATAAACGACACTGGATCAAACGATTATTAACATACTTGTACTGAAATGTTCACGCAATAAACGGGTTTTAAAATGTTTTAAAAAATAAAACAGAAATTTACACTTTTCTGAATAGAACTAAACAAAAGTACATTCTTAATTGCGCAAAAAAATAATAAAACAAATCAGAAATGTACATCACACGTGTGGAAAACATTTGTAACAAAAATCTGTTTCCACCCTGACAACGTATAATAATGAAACAAAGGCAGTTATTTACTCTCAACCAGTTTGAATACCTCTTTGAAAAAAAAAAAAGAACTCGTACGGCATGAAATGGCGTACCTTTAATTTTATTATTTTACTTATCCTAACGACAGCACTTAAAACTTTAGTTTACACAAATAGATACCCCCCCCCCTCCAGGTATTTTTTAACTGGTGGTTTATAAAATAGCTTTGTGACTATCTTTTCTTTTTCTTCCTCAAAAAAAGTTATACAGACTCTTAAAGTTTTTTTTTTTTCACTTGTGATATATCATTAATAAAAACGCCTCTTTGAATAAAATAATTATGATATTCTACAGTTCATGTGTTTAATTAAGTAGTTTTTTCCCCTGCTTTTTATCTTACGACCTGGAGGATAAAACATTCTGAAAATTTGGTTGTTGATATTAATTACTAAAACTTTTCTTTATTTAAAAGCAAAATGTTGAATAGGCCATCTAGTTGCTTGCATCTGGGTGGTCTGTAAACATAGCACAAATTATCATTTATATTGTGGGGGTATCTAGGTGGTCTGTAAACACAGCACAAATTATTTATATTGTGGGGGTATCTAGGTGGTCTGTAAACACAGCACAAATGTTCATTTATATTATGTGTTGTGTTCCTTATTAGAATTTCAAATAGCCTAAAATTGAGTTAACTGATAACTTTAAATTTAGTAGTAAATTGTACTTTGTATTTAGTAGTTAAGTAAAGGCCGATATAGTCTGTTTATGATATTTGCCAACAAGATTGATACACACAGTTTTCTTGTTTAACACAAATACGTTTTAATATACACACACAACAATACAATTTACAACAATAGATATTACAAATAGTTGTTACAAACAATGATTTATAAACAAAAGTTTCACAAACTTATAAGCAATATAAAGTCTTCCTTTTAATCTGGAACTTCTTCGATATCTTATCTAGGATTCACGATGAGCAGGTTGATTACGAGTTGACGTAGGTATATTTCACTTCACGGGAAGCGAGCTAGCTTTGTCCTTCGTTATTTATCGGCTATACAAGTCGAGTTTTCCACGATGAATTTATATAATGTTTTCATAAAAATACTAATGTCCAATGAGAATCCACTGAAGTTAAATAAACCTCCACACGCCTCTAAATGTAACCAACGCGACGCGCCAAAAAGAGAGAATCTATTATTAGTTCGCCATAGTCAGTGTACTATAAACTTTGGAAACTATAACTGTAATTATTATACGTTTATCAATCGGGAAAACTTCAAATACTTGATCAGGAACCTTTACAAAGTTTGAACATTACAAATCCTAGAAATTTCAGTTTTACGTAACAATACTGGCGCTAACACAAGCGTTTACGTACACACATATTATTGATTCTTACTCTCGAGAATCTTCTACGACTTTGGAGAATAGGCGGGAGTTTCGTAATACATATTTAACAGTACAAGCCATGTATGTTTCTAAATATAAATTTAATCCAAACAAACGTTGATATTAAAATAAATATATAATAACAAATTCGTTACAGGTGTCTATGTTGTCCAGAATTGCACCACAACTTTGTAGGTTTGGGAATAGTGACCTGAAGAAAGCCTCAGTATAGGAGCCGAAATATCGTCCTCTTTTCACTCAACAGGCAATTGCAGTCCGTTAAAATTCTCAAACCTATTATGTCTACTCTGCCTAAAATTCCGTTGAAACAGCCCAAGTTTGTGTTTATATGGTGTGGTACCTCAGTGGTCTGTAACTAAAGCATAAGTTTGTATTTATATGGTGTGGTAGCTTGGTTGTCTGTAAACGGAGCACAAATTTGTGTTCTATGGATAATTCGACAGATTACTTCAAAATTGTTATTGTAACTTTGAATGGAAAATTTAACATAAAGAAAAAAGATTTACATATATATATGGCAAGTGTTAGTTATGTGATCAATTACTTGGTGTGTGCGTTGCTTCTAGGAATGAATAATGATGAACAGCATGGACTGGAGACTAAACCTGTATTCAAATACACTACTTGAAGGCTCTAAGAGTTACTCATGTTGAACACTTATCATACCACGTAGTTACACCACTAAGAATCTGGACTTACGAAATTAGATTAAACCATTGTTACTAAGTGCCGAGAGAAATTAAGTTACTTAAATGTTTAGTAGGAAGGTATTAGGTATATATATTAGCGATACTTTAAGTATTTAACTGTCCAGGATGTAAAAAGGAAGGTCTGATAACCTACTTACAATTTTTGAAAATCAGGAAAAGCTTGTTCTCAAATAATTTTAATCATACACTTGAGTATTTGTTGTTGTTGTTTTATATTCATGTAAACAGCTTTGAAATTAGGCCGATTTTAGAATGCCTTTTGTTGCGTCTTTTCCGGGTTACTCATCTGTTAACAGTTACATAAGTTGCCACGCAACATTTGTTGAAGCCAACAGAAACTGGTTAAAGGAACGACAGAATGAAGTGTCCTAAGCAAGGCTGTTTGAAGTTAAAAATCCTAACAGTAAACCAAAGAGCTGCACGCTGAATATACCATCGTAAACGACATATAAACAGGGTTGACGAGAGGGGGGAAAGGGGACAGCTGCCTCGAGTCCCGGCAGTAGGATATTCCAAAGCTCACTAGAATTGTATACTACCCAATGAGCTAAAATGGCTACTGCTTTTTCATGGATTCGTGAAGAAATTTGTGACCTAAATTTATTTTATGAAAAATCAGCAAAAGTTAATAAATAGAATGAAAGGGGAGGCCCGGTGATATTACTGACCCGGGGCCTGGGCTGGCTCTTAACGTGAGTAAGTTCACGTGCGAACATAAGCTAAATATCAACAGTCAGATTCATAACTATTAACCCAATTGAACACATAGCCGAACTTACACAACGCACTATGTCAATGCAGCCAAGTAGCGTATACTAACTGGAGTCTTTTTAGATGCAACAGAAATTTTATTTCAATACAACTTTTACATCTTCCTACCCAAATAGAAGAGTTAATAACTCGAAGAGAAATAAATGTTTTTAAATATAAGGTGAACAACTTGTGAATAAGTATCTTCTTGGAAATGTGAATACAAGTATGCTAAAGTATTGTATAGACTAACTATAAATGTGCGAGTGTGTACATCGCTATAGGTTGCAGTTGTATCCGATATTAGAGAAATAGTTTTCACATGGAAAGGTGTATTTTCATAGATGGACTAGTGTTTAGATACATAATTATCATTAGCCCGTACTTTGAGTCTAACAAAGCCTAGTATTATGATAAAAATGTCAGGTCTCCCG